GGGGGGGGGGGGGGGGGGGGGGGAAGGAGAGGGAATGCGAAAAAAATAGTTGGATTTTAGTTCGGGCACAACTGTTCTTCATGCTTGCACATCTTCGAGCAGTCAGTGCATAATCCCGAATCTCAAGTTTGTATCTGTAAAATTTCAGGAAAGAGCAACGGCGACCAATTAGCGGTAGTAGTCAGTCCGACGGTGGCTACAGCAGTGAACGTCTTGTACCATAAGAGTACAAACTACATGGAATATGAGCGCAGGAAACGTGCTGTAAACAAACGAGCTTCGAAGTCTTAAACCAAGACGCAGCTATCACAATTTGCTCAGTGAATTTTCAACTGTGCCAATAAAAGTGGGGCCTAGCTTCGGTTCTCTGTTTAAGAAAGTCGAGGCTATTCGTTTTTTTCCGGAGGGGTAGTGATTTTGCTGCTGAAAATTTTTTCCTCCCGAGAATTTTTTGAGAAGGAGGCTAAGGGAGAAAACTTGGAAAGCCAGAAATTTCAAGGAACCAAACTTAAAACTTCTACATCATAATGGATTGTCATACTGCAAGTAAATTGGTTTTTCCCACAAACAAATTGTTATTGCTAAAATTTTTTGGAACCATTAAGAACCAAATTTGTATCTATCAACAGCCACTTCTGGAACCATAAAATCACGCTTGAAACCACTTCGAACCATGGAAGAAAACACTTGGAATAATGCTTTGAAGCATCAGAAATGGCATCACGGATTACTGCAGCATGTTGTGTTTTTGTGCCAGTTTTATTATGAACAAATTTGTTTAAATGACAACATTATAAATGCGGATAAATTTGTCAAAACATTTTCACAGTGAAATGCTTTACAAAAATGTGATTCCGGATAAACTGGTGTCCTGGAATGTCACATTTTCTCCACATCTCAAACCCAATAATGCTGTTTTAGTGCTTAATTTCTTTCACTTTTCTAAAAGCTGAGGGATAATAAAACATCGAGGGTCCGATCTTGCCAGCAAGACGCCCCAAGCGTGAAGACGAGAGATTCGATTCCCTCTTCATCCATACTCATTTGCAAAAGAGGTTCAATTCATGACAACTACCAGAAGCAAAAAGTGGCATCATTTAAAAATCTTCTCTCTCACAGTTGCAAGCATTTCAGAAGTCAAAAGGAGAGCTGTACAGCATCGC